CTTTTCTCACCATTTCCTGTCCTTCCCGCCTTTCCTTTACTCCTTCTCCGCGTTCCCTTCCTGTTTGCTCTTTCTCCACACAATCGTCCTTGGTCTCGTCTTTCTTCATGCCCACTTTCTCCTCTCCTCTTGTCTTTTCCCCATCCTCAGCCTTCTTGAAATCTTTCAGAACAGATCAGTCACTGACCTTCATGCATCCTTCCGCGAGGTTGCCGCCCTGTTCAGCGGGAACGTTGTGGAACGACTGGTTGATGTGGATCATCTATCTTCAGTGCAATGCGGCCTAACCATCTAGGCTATTTCTGACTTCCTATCAAGACGCCGAATCGACCTTATCTCGTGAAACCTTTGCTAACCATCCCTGCATAGATTGTAAAAAGTACACAATCGAGAAACTTGTAGCGACAAGGCAGCCTTAAAAGAAGGAAAAACAAGTCCATTTCCCTGACAGCTTATTGTTTTACAAATTGAAGAATGGTAAATAATAAAGAGGTCTATTCACACGGTCGTTGACCATGTCCCACTTCCTCAGCGCCATTTGCTTGAAAAAAGGCTATACCGTCTGCTGTGATGTTTGATTCCCAAAGACTGGTTTTTGTTCGTCTGCCTCTTCCTCCCCCTCATCATCGTTGTCCGCATTAGTCGTCTCTTGATTCTGCCCCTCGTCCTTCCTTCTCCTCCGCCCTCTCTTCTTCTTTTTTCCTCTTCCTTCTTCCGCCATGTCCTTTTCGCCGTCTTCAGTCCCTCCTTTCTGCTTCTCCAGGCATCCCTGCATCTCATCAATTTCTACTGTCGGCTCCACCAGGTCTGAAAGAATGTCTTCTATATTAGGAATCTCCTCGGAAGGCCCGATCCCCTCGTCCAAAGCAGGTGCATTCTTGCCGAAATCCTTACTACCACTCTCTTCCTTACCCTCGTCAACCCCACCTAACACATCATCCTCTCGAAGGGCTTCCAAAGCCTCCACCAATGCGCAAATTGAGTCGTCTTCATCTATGTAGGACTCGTTTACATTTGTTCTTTTCTTCTGCTCATCCCCTTCCTGTGCACTTTGTCTCTCAGCAACATGCTCTTCTCCTTTTCTCGTCTCCTTCGGGCTGCCCAGACCCTCCCTCTCCGAAACCTTCGACGCAAACATGTTATCACCCTCGTTCCCATCCTCTTTCTCATACTCTTTCTGCCCTTCCCTCCTTTCTTTATCCTCCTTTTCTGCACCCATCTTCTTCTGCGATGGCGTCTCGACAGCGGGTGTATAGCTCGTTTCCGGGACGGTTGCATTTTCAATAGAATCATCATCGTTGCTCACGATCGTACCCGCCTCCCCGTCCCTTGGCCATTCCTCCTTCTCTTTCGCCTCCATCTCCCTTTGCTCTGGCTTTGCCTCCTCTTCTACTTGACCGTCCGTTTTAATGGCGCTGAACGAAAACTCTTTCCTCATCATTTCGTGTCCTTTCCGCCTTTCTTCATCTTCTTCGTTCTCTTCTTCTGTTTGCTTTTTCTCCCGACAATCGCCATTGGTCTCGTCTTTCTTCACGCCCACTTTCTCCTCTCCTCTTCTCTTCTCCCCATCCTCAGTCAGCGACGGCTCCGTAAACGTGCATCCTTCACTTTCAGTCACACTTTCGTCAACCACATTCTCGTCCTCAACCGTGTTCACTAGATCAGTCATCTTTGGTAACACCAGGCAATCCTCTGTTGCTGTTGATGGTCCGACCTCCCCTCCGTCCGACTTCTCGACTGATAGCGATCGCGCGCTGGGCATACACGTCTCCTTTTCATCATTTTTTGCAATTCCTTTCACCACGCTCTCTCTTTTCTCGGCCACTATCGCCACCTCTTTCCCCCTTTCATCCCCCTACTCCACCTGCTTTTCTTGACTCACTGTATCCTGAAGATCATTAAACAAGCACATCTCTATGGAAGGTTTAATCTCCTCCTCCGAAACGCATGTATTTGGTCGGTTTTCATCCATGTGATCTTTGACGCCGTCTCCCATGGAGGCCTCCTTGCCTTTCCGTCGACCGCGACCCTTTTCTACTAGTTTACCGTCTTCCATCAGAAAAACAGTAGTTGGGTTTTCTGAACCCTTCTGTGGACCGGACAGCAGGTCTAAGAAAGCAATTCTGTTTTCGGCTAAGTTGTTGTTCACCAATTTTGGACAGCTTAGTTGCAGTTTGATGCGTTCAATCCCAGACTGCGTCGGGAGGTCCGGGGATTCGGGTTTCGTGACGTATTTTACTGGATCATTGGCTTCACTGCCTACCTTCTCGTCAGTGATCGCCTCAGGAATATTCCGACGAAGGCGGGTGTCTTCAACACCCTCCCCACTGGATAGTTGATCGTCCAGGGGGAGATCCGTCAACGAGGACACAGTGCTTCCCGATCCAGTCACAACTACGTCTCTGAGTAGTCCCTCAGCGTTCAAAGAAAGCAGAAAGCAAACCTTTACCTCGTAAACCAAGTTCGCCTTTCGAGTGGCTTCGATAATCAATTCCAGGTCCTTGTCACCATCGGCGTTGTCGCCCTGCGTAGTCTCTGCTCTGGCCGACGTATGTGGCAACGCTTTGCCCGCCACTCCGTTATCGACTACTGTAAATGTAGTCTGCTCGTTAGAGAACGTGGACTCTTGGCTGGGCTTCATACCGATCGCGTGAGCCTCTCCAGGATAATTCAATGTCCCTTGGGAGCATGTCTTGCCTAAGTTCTCAGTCTTCACCTGATTGCTGACATTTGATGACTGAATACAACTCAAATCGGGTGTGGCCACCGTGTCCTGGGCCTCCGTCTGCATGCCCTTGTCGCTCTTTCGTCAGACTTTTTCCTTCTAAGCACGATTCCTATTTCCTCCTCCGTGGGGCTCGAAGATCCTTTACATACAAGAAAGACGCTGATGTATGTCCTGGCACACAAAATTGCCAGGCAATAAACCCGTGGACGTAAGATATATTTGACGGAAGACTGGGTTCTTCTCTTGAACTTCCAGCTTCTTAGTTTAGGTCGTCAACACTCCAGCGGCCCACTTATAAGACGCGTACGTAGCCACGTGACAAGGGCGTGATGCCTGATCGCGTGAGACCTTTTACGGGCTGGCACCTTAGCGGCCGGGAAGATTTTGTTATTACTGATTTCTGTATGGGGAGTGGCTTCTGTGTCACGCATCAGCGCACACCTGATGGCTAAAAGAACGCCAAAGCAGTAGTACAAGCGGGCCAGAAGTGCACTCCTCTGGCTTTCTGGGTTTTGATTGGCTGATTGGGTGAGATTGACCTTGCGCTGATGCTTGAAACTGTTACGCCATCTCGTACTGGCGTTTATTCGAAAGTCACGTTCGAGGACGCGTGGGGTAGAGTTTAAGAAAGCAAACCCCCGGAACTATGACGGGTATGACGGAACGGCCCAGGCCCAGTAGAATGACACTCGATTTTAAATTCTTTCCATTTCCTACGGTACCGCGTTACAGCGACGAACTGCTCAAAGTCTTCCGCTAAACTCAGAATTAGGTCCTAATTCCTCTCCGTCTTTAGCAATATTCATTCCCATTGGCCGTTTCGTTCCCCTCACTTGCCAGCTGTACAGACCTAGTAATTTTTTTGCATCCGAAGACATCAACTACATCCCTCTTTTACTTTTTAAAGTCCTGATTGGCACGCCACCAGACAGAATGTTATTACCGACAAAGACAAGGGCAACTGGAATGGCTATTTCTGGTTTGTTAGCTGTCGTCAGCCAGTCGTACCCAACCCTGACGTGTGTAGCACCCGAGGCTCGAACTCGCGACCTGTTAGTTAGAAGTCCACGCCTTTACCCACTGGGCCACCAGATAACGACCTTTGATCACTCATTACCTACCTGCCTATAAGCTTCGCGTTCAGATTACCCCCCCCCCCCCACCTTAAATCATCGTTTAATCAACCCTCTTTACGTCTCCTTTGGCTATATTTACTCCGCAGTCTTATTCTGCTTGGATTAAAAGTCATTGTGTTCAGTTCAGTTGAATTAAAAGAAGGGTAGATAAACGTCTTTGAACTTCCTATTAGTCACACTAACGTCGCGAAAACATCAATGCATAAAGAATGTGTGTAGTAAAATTATGAAAACTTTAAATATACCTACGGATAAAGTATCTCAACCTACTGAAAAGTCGAGGTAGAAAACTGATTAGTTCATCGAAGGCTATTCTACCCTCTCGTCATTGGGCATTGCAGAGTAATAATTTAAAACATGTGCCTATCGTCACTGACTTCTCGAAGCTGCGCCTAACGAAGGATCGGTAAAAGTTAACAGAAAGGTGGGTTAGACAGGGGTATAAATGCCCCCCACCTCTATTACAAGCGGTCTTGAGCTAAATTCAAGACGGGCGTTTTCTACCGTGTCTAAACTTAAACATAGCGCCAACCCCTAACCCAAATCACCCTGGAATTTAGCTTAAAGTCGCTTGTGATACGGGAGAGGTGTCAAATCGAAAGTTACGACGTCGATATATCGATTTTCTTCCATCACATCACACGCTGCGAAGATTACCATTATCGCGTCCACCGTAGTCGTAATTGGACGAAGTTTATTTCGTAACATTGGGGATTTATTAGTTGAGCTTGTACAATTCTTTGCCAGTGGATGGAGTCCGTCGAATAGGCATTTAGAATTTTTGTATTTACGCGCACTGATTGAGGAAACGATAGGTCGCGGTGGACTGTAATTTTGTATGGATTTTGGAGAGTCTGTAGATGTTTGTGATTTGTTTTTCGAGAAGGACATAATTATATCTTTTTATTCTGAGCATATAGTCACAACAAATGTGGGTGAAAGCGACTAGTAGTGTGTCTGAGATCTGCTTTCTTGGACCCCAACCTTCATCCTCTATGTAAATGACAGCCTTCAGGAACTCAGCTGCGGTCAAATAATGTTCGCCGACGACGTTAAGAGTTAAGAAGTCATTAAGGGCCCGAATGACCAAAAGGCCATTTAAAATAATCTTCACCGACCGTAAACGTGCAACAAAACTGCTATAAGGTTTAAAAAACGGATTCCACGTAGAAAGACCGAACTTCCGTAATTTATTTTCCTTGTGTTACAGGCATCAAAGAGGGGATTTTATCCTGGTTTGCAAGACGGTACATGGTTTTGAACACGGACTGAGCTTCGAGGATATGTTTCGCCCAATATTCGTGGACAGTAGATGGAATTACACACAAAAATGTCAGGGCTAAACCTTCGTGAAGAATCTTGAGCGCAAAGAGGAGAAGAGAAATGTAATGGTCTCCATCAATAAAACGTGAATGCAGAATTCTTGCAGATCTTCAGGAAATGCTTGGATAATTACTTGATCCCCTCTTTTTCTTTGGCGGTCTGAACCTGAGCTAGATAACCTGCGAACTCCAGGCAGTTTATTTTTGAAAACGATTCTACTTAATTAACGTGAGTACCATTTTTATAGCGACAAACTTCATTTTGCGTGCACGGGCGTACCTAACGAACTGGTATGCACAGAATAGGGTTTTGAATGGCTTTGCAAATGTTCCTTGCCAAATAAAAGTAATCCGCGAATGTTGTGGTGTTAATTTCATTGCTTCGGGTTTGCGTTATTTTGAAACTATCTGTCTCCTATCAATAGTATCACAAAACTGCTGAAACATTGACCTAAATCCTAAAGTACATAGTTGAACAAGATTACCGAGTGAGTTACAATGTCCCTTGACGTACAAAAACCTTCTAAGTTTTTTAACACACAACAGGATGCAACAGTTAAATTTAATTTCTTACATTTGCCTCAATCGTGGGGGCATTTTTTCAAAAATCCTATTACGCATTTGACTGAGTACTCTTTGTATACTAGATTTCTTGTAATTAGGTATGACCTTGCGCATTGTATTGATTTTGCGAACTTCTATTCAAGTTCAGAGCCTCCGTCTCAAACAAGCAATGCCTTGATATCACATTGGCTAATCAGGTTACCGGGAGAGGCTTACATCTGCTCCCTGATTGGTCGTCAGTAAGGTTATGGATGTATCTGCGATGTTAATCGTCACAGTGCGTGCAAACATAGCTCAGATTCTTAAAGAAGTACCCACATCTGCGCTAAGTTTTCAGATACGCAAGTAAGCTCAGCATACTACGGAAAGGGAAGGTTAAGGGAGAAAGGTATACAGCGAGAACAGAGGCGATTTTGAGAAACGTATCAGCCACGTAAGTCCGGAATCCCTCGCAGAGGACTATCTTCCAGTCCCGCAGACGATACCAGACCCAAATGCCAATTATTGATAAACGCCGATGTCCCAGATAGGCAAAAAGAACACAAGAATAACGAACTAAATGAAATTTATTCATTTGAAATATTTAGACCACAGTATCACGCGGAAAGGCAGATATCAAGCAAACTTATTCAGCCTTGATGTTGTTAATGTAGTCAGCGAGACGTTTGCGCAGTCGCTGGCGAACTAAAATTAATTGGATAATTTGGAAGTATAATCAGAATGACATACTTTCACGGATGATTTCCTTGGTCTTCATGATGTGCTTAGCGATCTTCTGTCCGAGGGGGTTGTTGTCGAAGTAGTCTTCAAGTGCGGCAATCACGGCCACTCGACGAGCACGCAGGGCGCGGATGGGGTTGGTCTGGTGTATCAACGAGATCTCTGCATTAGTGTGTGCTTAGCGTTGGGCATTGAAAACAACCTAAAACCTCACTCACCAGCAGACAGTCACTTATACCAAATGACTACTGCCGACCAATTACCTGACGATGAGCACAACACAACTACATATAAACCTATTACTTGAAATGCCAAGAACAAGGAAGCTAGGAATACAAGTTCACGCATCTGAAGTGCCGTCCAATCACCTGTCTCAGCTTTGCTTGCTTCATGCTTATATGCACTGGCATGGTAGTATCTAGGGTCAGACGCCAATGACAGGTGTCTTTGACGTTTAAGATGTCTGCTGTTTAGATAATCTGGTAGTCACTGAGATGCCTGGTGCTGACAATCTCTGCATCTGACCTGACCAATCAAACAGCTTGATTGCTACGAGAACTCTTAGGCACAAGGACTGTTCGTGGGCATGTAATTCAGCAGCTGCAGTGACGACTTACCTCCCTAAAGGAGAAAGAGTGAGTGGTTAGATGGTGACAGGACTTACTCCTGTGCCATGGCAACCACGGCGACAGCCAGAAGCGTAAGAATGATCATGCGCATTTTTATAGGTGGAGGCAGGCGACGACTTCGAATTTGGTCGTGTTCGCAACCACTTATATATCTGTATGTGTTAATGGCAGGGGTGCACCATTAATTGGATTCTGCACCGAATAGTCCATTAGTCAGGGTGCACTCTTCAACTTCCGGCCTACACACACCCCCTCCCCCTTAGTTCTCCTAATCCTATAAATGTGGCGGTGCGTTGACTTGTGGCCGGAATCTGTCCGCACTCACACAGTGCCAAAATGAAGGTCTGCATCTTGGTCCTCCTTGCCGTCCTGGCTGTCGTCGTGGCCGCTGAAGAGTAGGTTTCAACTTTGACGGTTGTCATTTAACCAACTTTTCTTCCCGTCTAGTGAGGTAGGTCTGCATACGTTCAGGGGTGATGAAGGCACAGCCGGGTTTGCTCTACACATCAATGAATTTTACATAAGGTTTTCGCGGGAAACTTCACTGATAGCTGTCCTTTGTGTCATTTTGTCTCTTTATCGCACACTAGAAACCCTCTGAGAACCTCAGGGTACGGCTGATGAAGAGAGTTCTGGGTGTGCAGAGGTTCTTTAAGGAGGATCCCCTTGGCAAGAAGATTGTGGAGCAACTGGAGGACCTACTGTCAATCATGGGACAAGGTGAGTGCCCTGATTTATTTATTCTAGTGATGTGATGCTACTGTTTGAAAAAAAGTACAAATTTTTATGAATCTTATTTTTAATCATTGCAGCGAGACAGCGCCTTCGTCATCGCTTGGCCAATTACTTGAAGAATCTGGAGGAATAGGCAACGACAACCTCTGATATGTCCTCTGGTTTTGATCTGCCAGACTACATGTGAATTAAAGCATATTTCCCTGCCAGAATTTTTTGACTACCTTTCTCGTAAGGGTTGTGTTGCAAGTGCTTTGAATCTGTCGGCGGCCCTGTTGGGTTGTATGAAATGGCAGGTTGCAATGTGGAAAGTACGGGTCACGGTGCGTCGACAGTCTACAACGCAATCGGTGGAGCTCCCGATTGTGCAGAAAAGGCGTAAGGATATCGACGTGAGGGAGGGCGGCGGGGAGTTTAACTTTTCTAAATAGATTCTGCGTAACACCTCAAACGTGTGTAATCGTCCTATATCTGGCAAACACAATGAGACTGGCAGCCCTATGGCACCCGGTTCTTGCCGGTAAATAGGCTTGCGTTCCCTCTGGGTGTACGGGCCGTGCTCAGTCATTTTCGTCCCTGTGCCCCGTTCTGGCGCGGTTGCTGTTGATTAAAATCCAGATCACGTGTTTGTTGTGAACCAGGAGATATGCTGGTACACCAAGGTGCGGGTTCATCCGTGCCTGCCACCCCTTCTCCCCTCAGCGTTGGATCTTCTGGACTATGTCTTTGCAGTGGGCAAAGTTGGTGGAGGAGAGAGTGTGTTAGACGCAGCGCTAGTCCGCTCTCACTATAAACTAATTCACGCTTTAGTCACCGTGCCTGCTTCACTTTGCTCTGCAGCACACGGTGACGTCATCAGGGACGACGGTAGAAATCATATAATCACCGTTCCCGAGCTGCCAGGGAATATGCACTCGTAACCTTAGGGAGGACCAATCACAGGAGTCCCCAAAATCCGCAAGCCCCAATCAACTGAGCAAGCTTACGCCGACTGACTCTTGCATGACACACGAAT